TCACAGACCTTTCTGGCGGCTCAGTGCATTTGTAACACCACACCTCCTGCTTCTCTCTCATCCCCAGTGTCAGAAGGGATGGTGCCAGTCACAGGATCCACAGCCGCCTGCTCTGCACTCACATGTGTTTCTCCCTGGTGCCTCTCCGGTCTTGGAGACAAAGCTAAACCCAGTCACAGCCATGAAAACTCACTGAAGGAAAAAAAGTCACATAGGCTTTGCTGACTGAAGGTGCCCCAGAGTCCAACAGCTACTTTTGAAGCCCCAATTTCTTACTCAGATCTTCTCTCCCAAGACAAAAGTCCATCTGTACTACAGTGGTGTCTTCGCTGTGACTGGGAAGAGTATTAATCTACATACAGACCTCGATTCTTTCGTTTTAAAGGAACAACCCTCTAATTCTCATTTATCTGCTTTAAACATTTAATGAAATTATTTGTTTTCTCTCTTACTTACTTACTGCTTTATCTTGAAATGCCCAGTAGAGCACTGTGGGTTTTAGAGGGGATCAGGCAGTCCATGGTTTTCTTCCTGCACTTACTGCAGTCGATGGGAATGCCGGTATCATCACCAGGAAGCCTCAGGTTAAGATACGTAACATAAGAAGTCCTGAAGTAGGTTTAAACCTCATGATAAGACACATAACATAAGGAAAAGAGTAAGGATTAGGACAGGATGAAGTCTATCACCACAAAGTTATACAGGGCCTTCAAGAACAACACCGACTGGAAGTTGTTGTTACTCTAACTCACACAACAGAAGGGGTTGACATTATTTTTCAATTCATGATACTTTCTTTCACACATTGCAAAATATATTTGGATCATCTTTTCGATAGAAAATTTATATTTCTTCAAATCAGCACATCTTCACAATCTGGCAATATTCTGTCCTGTAAAACACACACAATTAGTTATTTTTGGAAAACAAAATAAGTGGAGAAAAATGAGCTGGGTGTTTTCATGGGCTTCTCTTTGACCCTGTCTGAAGTGCATCAACAAATATTTTACACATTTATTGAAAAAACTGAAAGGAAACTATAGAATTATTAGGTATAAAAACAGATTATAGAAAGATTCTGTCCAATTCCATTTTAAAGCATCTGCACAGAACACAAAGAACTGCTGGTAAGAAAGAAATACAAAGTATTTATTTTGAAGTATTTAGTATCATAATAAACACATGCTGGGCATCTGGCCAAGAACTCTCAAACACCTATGATAAGTTACAACTTATCATTTCTAATTATAATATCCTGTAACTGCACTCAGGAATCTTCTGTTACAAATTTTGTTTTGCTTTATAGGGAGGATAATAGAGTTGTTGAGAAAATAAGTTATATTCAGTTCTAACAGTATTTCTTCTTTTTTGTTCACTACATGCTATTTAATATTTTTCTTTGTACACTTCGTAATAGTTGTGCTTTAAGTGAAACTCTGAAAAACAACATTAGGATTCAAAATGCGCTGGAAGATTTTATTTTCAGGGTCACAAGTAGCATAGCGAGATTTCTCTCTTAAACAATGACACTTAGTATCTCTGTAGTTCTATGAATACTTTTGAAGTGTCATATTAAAACCAATCTCTTGGCCTTCAGGCAAAGAGAAGCAATTAGTCTTAGAGTTGTGAATAAATAAAAATCCATTTATATACCCGTCCTTGACATGTACCTTGCAAATCTTAGAAACTTCATCTAGTGGGAAAAGAAATGTTAAATCATGAGCACCAATACTAATCATACTGCAATGTTGCTTCCTAAAACTGTTTAGTTTATATCAATCTTTTAAGTATTAATTCATATGTATATATTCATACATATTGAAACACAACAACAGAAAGGCACTCACACATTGGAGTGAGAAGAAAGAAACGAGAGCGTGCATATAGAGCTGTAACACGTACCTTTATTACCCTCAACATTAATACAGGCAAGAAAAAACTCAAAGCTCTCGAGTACATTGTCCTTTTCTCAGATAAGGTAAAAACAATCCCGCAGAAGTTACGTACCATGCTCATGCTTTTTCATCCCAAGTGCTACTGTGTCTTTGCTTTGATCTACAAGCAAACAAACCAACCCAATCTTTATTATCCGTGTATCCCATTTCCATGCAACACAATTAAATAGTACCTGTCACAGATGTGTTGGGATGAGTCAGATCACAGTTTCTACTTTTCGTTCAAGTGCAGTATTTTTAGGTCTTCTCCTTCCTCTTTACTGTGCCTCAGTGCAGAAGCGTCCTATTTTTACAACGCTCTGATTGCTGTTCGAGATTCTCATATTTATTTTTCATTTAGCAGTCAGTAATTCACAGAGGAAGTAAAAATTATGATGCCAAGTCATCCCAAATAATCTGCCTGCACCCCTACGGAAAAGCTGAGTGGAACTCGGGCTGCACGACAGGTCACTGAGTCTCAGTGGAGTTTGTCCTCCCCGTATCCACTTGTTGACCAGAGTGGTGAGGAAATGAGAGTACTTGGGCTACAGCCTTGTCCAACCATCAGGTGAAGCAGTTGGCTGGGGACACGCTTGTGTTCGGAGGTTATTTTAGAATGAAATCCACCCCTCTGTGCCGTGCTCGCCCAGGCAAACACGGAGTCCCAGCCCGGAGGTCGGCGGTGGGACGGGGACCCCCACAAAGAGCACACCTGGGCTGATGGGATGGTCAAGGAAAACAAATTTTAGTCTGTTCTGGATGCAAATCTCTCTGCTGACCTAGTTCTCATTCTCCTTTTCATTTCAGAAGCTCAGCTAAAAATCCATAAATTAAGGAAATTAACTGATGGAGCCTCCGGCATCTTTGTAAGCTATTTAAATCTTTAAATTTACAACATCTTCTGCATATATCAAGTAATTGAACTAACTGCAGGGATGTAACTTTAATGAGAAAATTTCCCTCTTCTCCTGTAGTTTGTACTCTAGAAAAAAAAATTTAAAAAAAAAAGCTCCCCTTAGGAGAAAAGTTTCTGTTTATTCCTGCCACGGAAGAGAACTTTAAAATAAAATTTAAAAAAAAAAATAAAAAAAGCAAAACACACCAAAAAAACCTCAGTTTGGGGGGGTCCTGCCCGCCACCGTCCCCCCCGAGTGCTCCGGGGGAGGCGCGGGGGGAGCGCGGCCGTTCCGGGCCGGGCCCGCGGGGCCGCGCGGTTGCGTAACGGGAGCGCGCGCGGCGCTAGTGGGCGCTGCGGCCCCGCCGAGGCCCCGCCGTGCGCGGCCCCGTGCGCGGCCCCGCTCCGCGAGCGCGGACCCGCCGGGGCCGCTCCCCCGCCCGCCCCGGGGCCGCGCGCGCCCCGCGCCCCCCCTGTACCGCGCGGGGACCCGCGCGGGGCGGGGACGCGCATCCCCCCGCGGGCAGCGGCAGCCCCGCGCCCCCGGCTGAAAGTTGAGGGAGGGGTTTGCCTTTTTTTTTTTTTTTTAATTATTTTTTTATTATTATTTTTTCCCCTGCCGATCCCCCCCACCCTCCCGGCACGTGGGGCGGGCGCGCTGCGCGCCCGCGGAGCCGCCCGCGGAGCGCCGCGCCATCGCGCCGCGCGCTCTAATTGAAATGGCGCTTTTGGCCGGGGGCGGGCTGCCAGGGCGCTCCGCAATAGCACAATGCATGTCGATAGACGTCATTTGGTTTTAATGGCCTACAGGAAATTTGGCGTTTACAATGCGAGACATTAGCAAAGGGTGAAAGGGAGGGGGAGGCAGCCGGGATGGATGGATGGGAATAATTGCGGGCCCCCCCCCGGCCCCCCTCGCCGCCCCCGAGGCCCCCCGGCCGCACCTCGGCGGCGCTGGGTGCTGCGGGGGAGGGGGGGGCCGGGGCCATTTTTTTATTATTTATTTTTGAACTTGATCTAGTTTATCAACAAGTGCAGAGTGGGTGCTACCCTAATTGTAACAGAGGAGTCAAGAGATGTGAGAAACGTGCCCTGTGTTACTTATTTGGGAGCTGAAAATTTATGCCTAGTTGAAAATGCCTGGGGAAATATTACATCAGACCAAATGACAATGATTAAAATCAGCTTTTTTCCCCCCCTTCCCCCCCTCTTTTCCTCCTTCTTCTTTTCAGTAAGTCTGTTGAAGGACGTGACAGTGGCCTGATCCTCCCCAACACCGAACCGTTATCCCCGGGCCGGGCCGGGCTGCGCGGGGCTCCGCGGGGCAGCGCAGGGCTCCCGCCCCGGCCGCGCGGAGGGGCTCTGCGGGCGGCGGCGCCGGGGGCGCGGGCTGGGGAGCCGGCCGCCTTCCCAGCCTTATTTCATTTTCAAGGGCTGTATTTTATTTTATTCTTGGGGGGTGGGGGGTGGGGGGAATAAATCTGCAGACCTTCACCAAAAGGAGGGAAAAATATCCAATTTTCATCGCAAAATTAGCTAGGGCGAGAGCAAAGGGCTGAGCTAATTGTAGCCTAATCCTCTGCCCTGCAGGCGTTTGCAAAGCCCTGAGCAAGAATTCGCTTTTTTTCCTCCTCTTCTCCCTTCCCTCTGTTATTTAGAGACGGGATTATTGCCTTTCTTCTCATAACAGCCTCGGCAGTTTCATTTAAAGGCTTTTTTTTCCCCCTCACACACACACACACACATCCACACACACGCACAAAATAAATAGAAAAAGAAGCAGCAAAAACGGGGAGAGAGAGGAGACGGAGAAGCTTTAAAAAAAAATAATAATAATCACAGCAGGATCTGCGGAGCAAAGATAGTAATAAAAGCAAAAAAAGCTGAGCCCGTCCACACACAGCCCCGGCAGAGCCCAAAGCCAAAGGGGGGCTGGCAGATATCTTCTGTGCTCAAGGTAAGGACCGCAGCAGCGGCTCCCGCAGCCGCCCGCCTGCCCGCCCGTGCGGGGCCAGGAGCGCGCCGTGCGCGCCCGCCGCGCATCGCATCGCATCGCATCGCATGGCAGCGCATCGCGTCCGCACCGCGCGGCTCGCGCCTGCTCCTGCCTTTTTTTTTTTTTTTTTTTTTTTTTTTTTTTTGGAAAGTGCCTCTTCAAACTCACTCGGCTGCCGGCTCCGGGGAGCAAGAGCGGGCGGAGGGGTGTTTTTTTAAAGCTACAGGACCCGTTTGCGGCCGCCCCGCTTTGCTAGCGCCGCGTGTGTGCGTGTGTGTGTGCGCGCTTGTGTGTGTGTGTGTGCGTGCGTGTGTATGTTTTGTTTTGCTCCGCTCCAGCATGGGCAGCGCCGGCGGAGCCCCGCGGCCCGGGGTGCCCGCGCTCCCGCTGCCCCCCCGGCCCCGGCTCTGAAGACGGCCCAGCCCCGGCGCGGCGGAGGCAGCGCGGCTCGCTCCGCGCTCCCGCATGGTACACGCGGAGCGGGGTCGGGCGGCGGGAGGGCAGCGCGGCGCGGGGGTGCGCGGGCCGGGGCGCGGGGGCTGGCGGCGGGGCGGCTCGGCACAAAGGGAAGGCGGGCGACAATGGGGGAGCGCCGCGTATGGAAAACACGGGCGGGCTGTGAATGAAACTCTGGCGCCAGTGAGAGTGGAAGGCTTGGTTTGGGGTAGACTTCAAACCACTCTAGGCTATAGTTTGCATTCCTGCTCCTGCATGCGATGTGGCACACTTCTGCAAAATTAATACATTAGCCTGGCTAATGCTCACCACCATTGGCTGCGCGGAAAATGTGCAGGATCGGGGATTCGGGGTTGACTTTTTTTTCTTGCATTCATCTAAGACATCTCCTTTCTTGTTATGTGGGAATAAGTAAAGGACGCCATGTTGTGCCTTTTTTTTTTTTTTGGTTGAATTTTACCTTTGGGCATACAGTGTGTTCAAAAGAAAAAGGCAGAAGTTGAGTGACCGGGTGCGTTGCTCGCTGGTGATTTCCCTGACCATCAGCAGGGAAAGGCATTTGGGTGACGTGAAACTTGCACTAAATAGACTGGAGACTGCCCGAGAGAGGCGGGTTGCGGGGGGGCAAAGGGGGGAGGAAGGAGAAAGCCTTTCCTTTTTTTTTTTTTTTTTTTTTTTTTTCCCCCTTTTCCTATTTTTCGCCCCTTTTTTTTTTGGGGGGGGGGGGGGAGCAACCAGATCTCGAGAGGGAGCTCCCTTCCCCCCATTCCTCCCCCCCCGCCGTAAAAGTTTTGGGCACGATCTCCTCTGTCGCTCGGTCCAGCGTCCAGCGAAGCAGCGTGGAGGTGTGTGCAAATGTTTACGGACTTTTAATTTTGGAGCCCCCGAGCCCAAGGTTTGCAGCCCCCCCGGCCCGCTTTGTCTTTGGGCTCGGAGCACGGCGTAGGCAAGTTGTGTCGGAGTGGCTGTGCAGGCAGACCCGAGCGGTCGCCGGCCCTGTTTAGGCAGACAAAGGTAATTGCCCAGTCTGTGGCTGTGCCCCTCCGGCGGCGCTGGGGACGCAGACGCTGCCCTGGAGTCACGGGAGCGCCGGGGGAACTTCTGGCCCGCAGTGCCGGGGATGGGGCGCTCGGGGGGCTGCGCTGGGTGGTTTTACCCCTAGTGGGTCCGCTGGTACAGAAATGCAGGTCCCTGGGCAGGGAGAGCGGCTTCCCCGAGGATGCAGCCCGGCCGTGCCGGGGGGGTGCAGCCGGGCCCGGGTCCTGCGGCCCGACCCGCCCCCGCCCCGGCTCCCCGGGAGAGCAGCTCCATGGCAGGTCCGTAAACCTGCCGCTTTCATTTCACGTCTTAAATGTGCATGAAGGAATTAAACTGCACGAGTGAATAACAGCATTAGTTTCAATTAATTTTTATCCTGGCAACAATAAACTTTAGAAACAAAGCGCTTTTACATCCTTAATTAGTCTTGCTTCCCATCTGTAGTCTTTTAAGTGCCTGCTCCTTGATTTAACTTTGTCCCTCCTTCAGAGCCGCCTCCTTTTTTATTCTTTTCCCTTTTTTCTCGTTCCCCCTTCCAGACTGCTGCCTGTTTCTTTCCTGCAACCTTTCACCTCCCTTGTCCCTATCTGTCTGCTCTGCTCTGTGCAGTTTATTTCTCCTGTATTTTCCCAACATCAACAGCAGTATTGGTTACCATGGCCTCAAGCTATGTGCAGAGGTGGGAAAGCTTCATCCGCCCAAAAGTTCTTACACTTTTGAAGTCTTTCTTTTAGTAGGATCTGAAATGTATCATCTAGAGTGTGTATTAAATGAACAGTATTCCTGAAGGCTTTAGAGCAAGAAAGGCAACACCCTGGAAAATTCTGCAGTCTTTCAGCATTCTCTGCCCTAGGGTTATAGCCCTGGGCACGGAGCTGAATGGAGCTCTTACAACTGCCTTCTGTTTACCTTTTATGGTTAAAATAACAGCTTAGCAAAGAAGCAACTTCATGGAGAAACGATTCAGTGAAATCATCTCAAGCTGTAGCAGCATAGCTAGTTTAATCACCCCTAGAGAGCTGAACAACTGTGAGCACAATGGGACACAAAATCATTTTGTGTGTAAATGAGCATGGCATTGTGATTATTTCACTTTGCATGGGCAAATAGTTTTTACAAGCAGTACTTATGCAGTTAGCTTAGAAAGGCAGAAAAAGATAAGCTGGCTCTGAAAGATCTTGGTGTGTAATGTTTGAAAAACTAAATATTCACATAATTTGGGAATCAGGCTCTATTGATTTTGCCTTCAGCAGGTTCCTGTGTTACTTATTAGAGCAGGGTTATTGCCTGTGTGCCACTAGTTGGGATGCTGTATCCTGTTGTAGGCAACTAAAGAGCAAGGATTATTTTACATGGTTTAATAAATGAAGTTTGTTAGTGTTTCTGCGATATTTACCCTTAAGGTTTTAATTTTCACATCCATATTAGAAAATATGTGCATAAAGACTTTCACTGGATAAATACGTTTAGGATTTTGCTTTGTGCATAAAATAAGTACATTACTCAGTGTGATGAATTTTAGCTGCATTTTACATTAAGAAGAGGAAGGAGTCATTAGAAATAGGGTTACGGTACCTTAAGAAATACGGGGTATTTATATTTTTTTTTTGAGCAATAGGAGTGTTCTCAGTGCCCTTTATGTAGTGCTTAGCAATTGTGCCCCTTGATAATTTGCTCATACGGAAATGATTGAATTCCACAACTTTAATAAAAATCTAGGATTCATTTTTTTAGTACGAATCCTCTCCAACCAGGGGAAAAGCCAGTGTTTTAATTCCCCTTTTCCTCCTCTCCCCCAAAAAGCCAGTGGCACCCTCAATAAGTATGAAAAGCCATAAAAGTTTGAGAACTATTTTAGCTTTCCAGTGATTTTCTATAATTAAGTGTTTTTTCAACACATGCTCTAGCTGAGAAATGCCAAAAGCAGAGGATTGTTCAAAAGGTCCCTCCAGTGAATAGTATAAATTAAATATCTACTGTGTGAGTATGGCCTCACTGAGAATCTCAGTCTTTACAGATCAAGGAATTTACTGGTATACTAACATTAAACAAAATCCTAAGATAGCAGCAGTGTTTAAATATGCACAAATAGATTCATATCACTTGATCTTTAGCTATCTGTGCATATTTTAAAATTGAAGTCTGTATTTCAAGACAAATGGTTAAATGTAAGACACGTTTACAGAGGACTGGAAGTCCTTTGATTTCATTTGGAAATTGTAACAAGGGGTGCAGATGAGCCCTAATTAGACTCTTGTTTTGTGAAACTGCATGAGATTTATTTCTAAGGCAGCCCTGTACCATGCGAAGTCTGTACCTTTATCATTAGTGATAATGGTTGAGGTCTGAACAAAGACAGGGTTGACATTCAGCCTGGATCTTCTGACCCTTTCATTTAAGTGAAGGAGTAGAGACTGAACATGAGTTTACAGTGCTCTTTGGTAAGAAAAAAACCAGCAACCTTTGTCTGTGTTGGCAGACAGATGAGGCACCCACAGATTAGTAAACACATCGCTAGAATACTGTAGGTACTTACAGACTAAGTTGTTTTTAAAACTTAGTTCTTTTATTTATGCTAAATGACATATTTACTGAAGATTGGCCACAACAGTCTCTTGTGGGAAACAAGAAAGCAACGTCTTCAGTCATGAAAGGATTCAGTCACTTTCCTTGAAGGTGGTGCTGTAGTAAAAATGTTAATGCCCAATTTGGCATCGGCTGACACAGAAGTCCTAGGACAGAGTTGGTACTTGCGTCGTGTTCAGTGCAGATGTCCGTCCAGCCTCCGAAGAGAAAAGGATGTGGATTCATAATGGGGTGATGTATTTCTGTGCTGTAGATGCAAGAAATTCTTAGGAGCTAACCAAGATGAAATACAGTAAATGGAGATGTTGTGATGACTTTGTGAAGCCGTTCAGATGTATTGCGATTTTTCTCCAGAGCTTGGAAATTGTTTTGCAAAGAATGTTGCTAATTGTGCGTTCATCGAGTGGCATAGCCAGGCAAAATACTGCTAAGAGAAAGGCGAGACCAGCTTCAGATTTCTAAGAAACGTTGTCAAAGTAATGTGGGAGAAATGGGAATTCACTTTGCAGTGCTGCATGTAAAGTGCTTGTCAGATGTAAGGAAGAGCCTGGGTGCTTGGTAGCATGCTTGAATTACAAAATACCAAGAAAATTAGATTATATTCAGAAATGTCTTCAACTATAATGTTTTGCATATGTTGCTTTCCCCATAAGGGGGAGAACGGATGGACATTTTCCTAAACTTTTCTGAAAGGGTTTTTTTCCATTTGACATGTGCCGTCTGCACCGATTGAACTGAAATCAGCTTTGAGACACACACTTCATGCAGAATAAGCTGTGCTTTTCTCACAGAAGAGAATTGAGGAATTTTCTTTTGCTATGGTTGTCCTGTTCATTTTTAAGACATTTCAGTATTTTTGGATTTGATTTTGCTGAAGATTTTGGGACTCAATTCAGTAATTTCACTAATTTTCCAGTATTTTTAGGGCAGGAAACATTAGGTGGATTGTTGAATTTATAATTTCACATGCTGCATTGTATAGTACTTTCTAATGTATCTTGTCATGAAAACATGGGTCAGTTTATATATCTTTCTGTTTTCGCTGCTTCCAGGCATTAATTCTTTCAGTTTGAAAGCTTATTAGTTGTTTAGGTCTAATATTAAGGCTTAACTGAAAATTATCCATTTATTTCACAATTATTGAAAATAAACCAGAAAATTGATCTTAGTTTGATGTGAAATTTACTACATGTATAAACTAAATGCCTTAGGTACTGAGGAAGTCACTAATTTAGAGGTGTCTTGTTACTGCGACAAACTTGCAAAAACCCCCTGAATCCCAATTCACAAATTGGTTATTCGTTTGTCAGGGGATATTTCACATCTAACACATAAGCCTGCGACCTTTAATTAGAATTTTGCAGTTTGTTTTATGCCCCTTGAGGCTGACACCTTGAAAATTTTTTTTTTCTTGATTTCTTATTGCTAATAAGCATCTTTCCCTTCCCCTCTGGTACTTAGGAGAAAACGATGCAAATACACTTAATTACAGTGGTGGCAATAATTTGTTAGCTGAATATGTGATCAGGCAGATGCAAAAATGATCTGATTAGATCTGTGATCACAGATGGAAAGAAAGGTAACACAGTGCTGCATTTAAGAGAAACTGTTCTTTTTTGCCTCCCCGCCGCAGGAGGGAAGAAGCATGTCCCGTCTGTCTCTAACACGGTCCCCGGTTTCTCCTCTGGCTGCTCAAGGAATTCCTCTCCCAGCTCAACTCACCAAGTCGAACGCTCCCGTGCACATCGATGTAGGAGGACACATGTACACCAGCAGCCTGGCTACCCTGACCAAGTACCCAGACTCCAGGTAAGACCCTGGTGTTTGCAGGCTCACTGTTGGCTGCGTGGAAGGAGGCAGGTACCTGTGAGGGATATTGCAGTGCGAAGTACCATTTATTATATATTCACCGCTTATGAATAATTCAGGTTCCGATTTATACAGTAACTTCACTGGGGTTCTGCAGGAAAAAAAAAGCCTGTAAAATTTATGTATTATTTAGAGAGTCTATTCATTTTCTCTCTCAACATCTCCTGCGCTGTGCTGATACGTTTGAAGCACCTGTTGGTGTGCTGCCCTAGATTATTTCCAACTGCACCAGGCAACTTCTTTCTTTCAGATGTAAGGGGAAAAAAACTGGTTTTTAATTCCTTAAGAAAGCAGAATGGTTCTGCTACCCTGGGACTAATGGATGCTTCTGTGGGCCAGTCCAAATCGTGACCTCAGTGGGAGCTGTGTCCCTCTGTGTCAGCAGTTGTTCCTTTGGGCGGGGGCTGGCTGACCCTCTCTGGACAGGCTGCATTGAATCCTTGAGTGCTCGAAGGTGGCTGCTTTGTGCTGGGCAGGTTGGTGACGTGTCTGGAGAGATTTATATGGATCTGGCCAGTATTCTCTCAGAGTATACTCCAGACATGCCAAATTATGAATAGATGTGGCATGAGATGATGTTTGTGTATGACATAGTGTCTGTTGTTTGCCTGGCTCCCAGTCCTGCAGGGCACTGGGCACCATGAGGGATAGGGCAGGGTCAGGCCTGTGACATTGCTAAGGGTTAAAGAACATTCATTGGAGCAGTATATTAAGATGTACCTGATTTTGATTCAGTTATGGTCACTAAACCAGTGCATGTTTTTGTCACTGAGACAATTCAGAGGGTGCCTCATACATACTCAGGTGGGAATGTGCAGTGTCAGGGTGCCCAGCACACTGTTGACTCCAAACCAAACCAAAGCCCAGGTCAGCAGGTTTGGTTGCCAGAGGTTTTGTCCTGCATGGCCAGAATTCTGTAAGTGATAGATTTTTAATTTTTTTTTTTTTTTTTGGTATGACAACCAGTGTAAAGCTGTAGTTTCATTTGAAGATTTTTCCTTTAGAAGAACTAAGGGTTTTTGCAGATTTGGCAGGTTCCCAAGCATTAAATGACATTTATGGAGACACCTTGAAACGCCTCTGATGTCATAAAGCATATGGCTGTGATTTCATTTCAAGGAAAGGGAGCTGCTGAAATTCTCTATGGAAAAAAAGCCCAATTATTAGAATACCTGTATTTTATTGGCAGAACAAAATAATGTGATTTTTCTGGACAGTTTGTTTAATGAGGTCTGTGTGGTACTATTTTAATCATAGAGAAGAAATCTGTTCAGTGGGGAAAGATTGTAACAGAGAAACAGGCAAATGCTTCATAGTATTAAAAAATACAGAGAAGATTCAGCAGTTGTAATAGAGTGGCACATCTGTTTCCACATTTTAAAATATCGCTGCTGACACTATGTTTAAAATATGCCCCACATCAAACTTACTTAATAAAAGCTTCAGTTACGGAAGCTTTGGAAGAATATACATAAATTCACAGATTTTGTTTCAAGAGAATAGAGTACTGAACCAATTTTTTTTTTGCCTGTTTGATAAATAACAGAATCATATTTCTTCAGATTTTGTACTTTGTTTAAACTGAAAGTACAAAACTGTGACTGACCAGAGCTCACATGCTGCCCGATGTTTTGCTGTGTGCTGTCTTTTGTTTGCATTGCTATGTTATCTCATAAGGCTTGAAGCTTTTTTAGCTGCTCAAACTTCAGCTCTCACTGAAGTAAGAGCTTCCAGGATGAGACCCTTCACCAGCATCCCAAGTAGGACATATTGCTACATACATTATGAAGCCAGATGAAGGCTACACCATAATTTATTATATTTTCCTTTTTTATATATATATTTACGTATTATTTGTTCTTCTTCAGCACTGCATAATAGACTTGGTTGTTACCCCCCACTGAGTCTGGCCTGCTCTCATTCCTGGTTAAGGCAGAGCACTTGCAGTTATTCCAGTGGGAATGGTTGGAGCTCCTGATGGTGCTTCCCTGCCCTGATGTGTATCTGCCATATGGCACAGACTGTCCTTGCAGTGATCTGCCTGGGAGAGGACTCCTGGGTCTCTCACAGGTGCAGGAAGGAGGAGGTAGCTTTTCTGAGCAAAACATCTGGAAATAATGCCAGGGCACTGTTAGCTTGTGCTCAGAGGTAACATGCATGGCCACATCCAGAGGCATGGCCATGCTCATCCACTTGCAGAGCTTTCTGCTTTATTTTGGACAGCCCATCAAACTCCTGAGTTGAGCACGAGTTTAAAAGCTTCAACTCCAAGAAGTCACACAAATTTGTAGATCATATTTCAGCAGAAGATGTAAGCATATGCTGAAGTGCTTTGCTAAATCTTAGTGAAGTCACATAAAATAGTTTGGGCTCACTGAAATTGAAAGCTGTGGGAATAAACTTCCTGTTTATTTGTGTTACAATCCCTATTGCTTTCTCAGTGCTCCCAAATCCTAAATAGGCTTTTAGCTTGTAGGCTTTTTAGCTGATAATACACATGGATGTTTAGACTGTGAGCATGTGTATAAATACAGCCTGGGTGTGCATGCACAGAAACACCACATGCTGATGGGAAACAGAAAAAGTCAAGTTGTGTTTATACTTCCTTAGTGTTTTGAGGAGGTCCAGTCCTGTTTGGTCCTGAACAAACTCAGTCCACATTGACTTCAGTGAGAGGGAAGAGCTCCCAGCAGCTGGCCAGATCGGGCCCAGCAGGAGCAAGTATAGATATGACCAGTTCCTGCCCATACCTGCTCTGCAGTCACCCCTCTGGTATGATATAAATTACACCTGACAGCAGGCAGCGTGATACATTTCTTACTGTAATCTGTTAGGATTGACTGTGCTCTGCCCTCTCAGCTGGCTCTGCTTGGCTGTTCCCAGGTTAGGTATGTGGTTGGCTCTAATTTGGGAAGAAAAAGGACCCAGTTCTGGAAGTCTTACTCAAGTGGGTGAATGGCTGTTAATGTGAAGCCAGAGGCCAAATTTTGCATTTCAGTGATCCCAGAGTTGTTTCAGAGCAACTTTGGCAAAGTCTTTGATGTTGTTTGTATTAGTGCAGCTGCTGTGACCAGAGCATTTGTCCACTGATTAAATTTGCATAAGTAAAGGGTGCCAGATTAGGCATTAAAGGGGGTAGCCGTCCTCTTTCCAGTAAATTTTTATGGGCTACATAAATTCTCTCATCTCAAAAAGGAGAGAACTTGAGCAGTGCACAACTGGCGCGACAAAGGAGAAGAGAGTTAAACAGCCACTGTCAAAGGTGGTATCTAAACCACTGGCACTCACCTTAGGCACTACATACCTTTCCAGTTGGCTTTTTGAATGAAGCAGCATACAGGAAGAAGAGCTGGCCTTTCAGAGGGTGAAGGGCAAAGGGAGATGAGAAACATAAAAAAGAAATTGTGATCAACAACAGCATGTCAGTGGTCACACAAATTACCTCAGAAATAACATTATTATTCCCTTTTTGTATAGCTACTTGAGGCCGCTTTCCATGCATACCCAAAATTGCCATTAAAGTTGATAAGCTTTGGAGGTACAAGGAGGCTGATGTTGACTTACTTGGATCTGACTAAGGCTTAATTTCAGTTTGTTTTCAGCAAATTCTCCTACTGAAACTCCCAACTCTTGTAGTTCTGAGGTACAGGTAAAAAAGAGAAAAACCCCTGTTGATTTCTAGTGACTCTTACCATCAGCGTCTTATTTCTAAAGTAACTGGCTAAGTGGACAAATTATTCATCTTTGATAGCATTTCCTCTAGAAATTCCATTCCTGTTTTCACCCAGAGGACCTCTAAAGCAGCCCCTTCACACATTGACACTTGAATGTGTATTTATATGACAGATTGTAAGGGCTGCAAAACCTCCAGCACATCTATAAAGTGAGTTGCAAATTGTATTTATCCAAGGGAGTGAGACAATTCTTACATTTGGAAAGCAAACCTGCACCAGAAGTCCAAGCTCCTGACAGGCAGTCAGGAATACCCAAGGGCATTTCCAGAGCCTCCAGTGTTACTCCCACTGAACTCAGTGGCAGATGTCTCATTGCGTTCCAGTGGAAAAGAAGGTCCAAATCCCTGTATACCACAGCAACCCCCAGCTTCTTGATGTCACTGGAAATTTTGATACCACCTTGAAGTTTTATTAGAAAGCAGAACAAGAGTTCTCATCAGAAGCCTGTCCATTTTGCAGCCCTGATTAGTGTTTTTAACTCAGAGAATTGCTGTGAGCTCTCTCTGAGTTGTTCTGCTATACAAGGTAAATATATTTACCTTCCATTCTTGATAATTCATATTTTTGTATAACCCTCTATTAAAGATATGTTCATGTGTTTGTAATGTTGTTATAAAAGCTCATACTTTCTGTGGCATCACCTGGGACAGAAGGAATAATTTTCCATGCAGCGACGCTGTCCAGGTGGGAAGAGTGTGGGGTCACAGATCCCAGAGAGCCTCCCCTGATGGTTTGTAGCACACTGTGTTTGGGACCTCTCTGCTCCCAGCCTTTCCCCTTCAGGACAACAGAGTTTCTGGGCCCCGTGGCCCAAGCCATGAGCTGTCACACAGTGCACCTCTTGGGGCACCTGGGCTCTACCACCTCTTTCTCTGGAGGCTGTGTCCTCCAGAGAAAACCAGCACAGGCTTTATTAATTCTTTCAGAAGCTAATGATCTCTCTACGAGACAGGAGAGTTTTCCAGGCATATCCTTGCCTCACTTTCCTGTGAATCCATGGACTTTTTTGGTGATTTGCCAAGGAATCCCCTAAGCATGTGTCTTCTCTGAATGTTTCTTGTCAAAATACACTGTTTTTTGTTTATAGACCCACCCTCAGACAAGGTCTCCTGCCAAGTATGACCTTCTGTTTCTAGCTACTCTCTGAGGATCTGTGGATTTTAATTCCCCTGCCTTTTCCTCCGGCACCTCCATCTCTCTGGTCGC